ATCCGATCTGTGCATCCTTTTCAGCATGGTACAGTTTCTAAAGCCCGAGCACAAGCACAAATACACAACATGTTATGGCCGTATCTGACCAAAATGACTCAAAATATAAAGTCAGTTAGGTTTTTAAATTGTGGTATTAAAGGACCAGAAATGTTGACAACCTAAGTCACAAAGGAAGCACAGGTTCATGTTTCCCTGATAGGTTTTAATCAACCTCTTCAAATTGGAAAGCATGGCGAGTAAATGGGCAAGAAGGAAGCGGACGGCCCTCGGGCCAGAACTGTTTCCTTAGCACTCCAAAATTAGGAAATGGAAAGAGCCCGCTGTCTGTTTTTTTTTTTTCCACCATCATTTACACACGCTCAAGATTGGAGAGAAGATTGTCAGCTTAGAGGAAGGGACAACAACCCCCCCGCCTCCTTTGCTTGAGTCCAGTGGACTTATGCTTCAGGCTGTAGGTCTCTCACAAGGAGGGATTAGAGCCGGGAAAGGCGGTCAGGAAATCATTATACTGATTCCAGGGTTGAATAGAAACGGTTCAGGGTGACGGCGTTCCTGAGGAAAATCTAAGAAATCGTAGATGAGTTCTCTGATAATCTTTGTGAAATCACACATGCTGCCTTTTTCACCTAACACAAGCTGAACTCGGATCATTTTAAACCCAAGCAAAGCTGCGATACCCACCTGTTCAACTCAGCTTATAGACTTGGTTAATTGTCTTTGTTTGTGGGTTCTGATGTAAAGCATTGCCTTTGAAAAGGCCCTTTATATATGTTCAAGCTTTTATGGGGCACTGGTTGCCTACTGGTTAGGTCGTGTCCCAAGTACAGAGGCTCGGTCTGACTCCAACCTGTGGCTTCTTTCCCTCATGTCGTTCCCCACTCTCTGTTTCCCCTGATTCCTGACTCTATCCACTGTCCTGTCTCTCCAGGATTTATGGATTTCATGATTTGAAAAATGGCAGCAGTGTGTGGAAGCACTTAGAAAAATCACAACTACTTTAAAAGACTGTAAAAAGTGCTTCACAATGGGGAACCACGGGTTGATTAAGCCCATTAAAAAGCATCAAAATGTGAATATTTGAAGTTGGAAATGTAATCCATACGATCCTTAGTCCTAGCTCGAAAAAGTCAGAAAACGTTTTTCTTGACTTTGCAAAGTTCCGATTAACCATTGGACAAATCTGTTGTGGAGAATTTAGCGTAAAAAGATTTAAATGAACCAGTGATGAAGAAATCTGCTTCAAGATGTACACAAAATAAATCTTTTTAATATCTTTTGTATCAAACTGGCACAATTGCAACGCAAGCCATGTGGCGCTACCAAACCCTTGAGTTTTCCAGCTCATTCTTTATTCACAGACACAGAGAAAGAGACAGAGTGATGCACCATATGCTTTGCACATATGTGTTAGAAACAGGAATTGAACATGACCTAATTGTAGCCCATTCTGTTAAATCCAATCTGCTCCGCACAAAAGCTGAAAAAAAGAAAAGCAATATTCAAATTGTGATGCTCGTCTCGTGCACTTCTTCTTCTTCAGTTACTGTAAGGGTCCGTTAAAACGAATCTGCAAGATGTCTAAATGCTTTGTTTCTGAAGAAAGGAGCCATCGAAAGTATCTGAAGAAAAAAGTTTTCAGTGGTTGGTCCAGCTTTAAAGAGGACATACATATTATCCCCTGTGGTCTAAATGAAACATCTGTGCTGTGCTTTGGTCAAAATATAACATGAATCAAGCACCAGAGGAGGTTTGTGACCCTGTATAAACCAGCTCTCTTAGAACGCTCCGTTTTGGTGTGTGTGTCTCTTTAAATGTAATGCCCCCCCCCCCCCCCCCCCCCCCCCCAGTTTTCCCAGTAGACATCACTCCTCTGTAGAGAGAATAAAAATGGCGGACTTGCGCAGGCGTTTTGCTCTAGGCTGGGGGTGGAGTCCATGGGTGGAGATACCAGGGGAGGGGAGGGGATTTCTTTTTTACCAGAATCCCACTGTGACATCACAAGGAGAGCACATTTGAAACGTAGCATTTTTCTCTGTGTTGTAAGACTTATGCAGACCACAAACAAAGGACTGGATGGATTTATTTCACATTTTGTGGGTCAGTAGACTCTCAGGTTACACAGATATATGTTTCATGGCTCATCTGTTTCATAATATGTCACCTTTAAGTAACCAATGGCAACCTAATTGGGCCTAAAATCATCTAGTGTGTAGCCAGCTTTAGCTACTTGTAGGCACATTGAAGGTGAAATGTACAAATATAATATTTCTTCATTTTCGTGAGGCTCCTGTACTGTAAGTCTGAACATTAAAATTTGTCCCTTGTGTATCAAGACTGTAGTCCTTAAAGGGGGCGGCCTGGGTCCCTAAGTCCCTAAGCCCAAAATCAACAAGGGGCGGATACTCCGGCTCCATTGAACGATTTTGTATTGGGCGGGCTCCAAATGTGTAAATGTCAGTGTCTACCGCTAGGGTAATTTTGGCTTCATCTTTGCACAGTTGGACGAGGCGGCTGTGTGACGTCCATCTTTATACACAGGCAATAGTTCGACTCGTCAGTGCTCAGCTCTAAATGTCTCCTGCAGCTCAGTTGTCAAAGAGGGAAGATGAGCTCGAGTCTGCAGACAGACAAGTTCAAATTCAGCTGTTTTTTTGTTTCCTCCCCTGAAGGACTCCCGCATGACTGCTGTCTTCGTATTTCTGTCTGCCCCCTGCAAGCTCGCCTCCATCACAGAGGCAGACCAATAAAACTCAGCGCTACGCCCGCTGCCCTCCGATGACATGGACAATAACTCTTCTCCGTTCCGCGCTGCGCGATGAATCACATCCTCTCGTCTCCTCCCAAAAATACACCCTCGATCGGGGAGGCAGGTAACCTTTTCCCTCCTCTGTGAAGGGAAAGGAACATTTTTAAAATTGTGAAAGGTCAAGCAGTCCCCAGAACGTACACATCCGGTGATGTCAGCAACAGTTTCTATGGCAGCCAGCTCGGACAGGAGTGGGAGTTTTTAAGGCGAGGGTTTGTGTCAGTCTGATCAGACCCATCCTGATGAACCACCTAGTGCAGCTTTTGTGAAATACGACCCAAGAACAACGTCTCCTGCTGCTCATCTTGTATCAGCTCTGACTTATCTGCCTTCGTTTATTTGTCTCTGACTTATTCTATATTTAGCTCGAGCTGCCACCTCTTGAATAAAAATCAGGTTTCCCAGCCTTTACTCCTCCTCAGTAACACGGCTCGTTAGCGGAATAATCTATTAAAACCAAGGCTCAAGAGGGGCTGATTTAATTTGAGCGCCGACGCCTTAAGGGTCCATTGAGCACGTGGATCACTTAGAGCCGGCTTTGTCTGAGCTCAGGTGTTCGACTCTTTAACACGCCCCCTCCCCGGCTCCGGTGTCATGCTGCCTGGAGAATGACTCAGTGCAACAGCGACAACAAAGACAACCAGTCAGCTTCTGCAACGTCAGCCCTAGATAGCTCACCGGGGGGAAGCACAGCCCCAGTGCTGTCATCAGATTTGTTGAATCAAGCCAGCCAGCGGCTCGGATCGGAGGGGCCAGACGGAGCGTGGCACGGGGGCTGTGAGTTGATGGGGACGACTTGAGGAGATGCCGTGTCAGTGTGCTACTTCACATTAAGGAGCCTGGGTAAATGGCTTAAGGCGTTCCATGTTTGTCGGGAATCATCCACTGCCTGCCTGTGGGGGATACTTAGACTCCTCTTATGTGTTAAATCATGGATTGGATGCAGTGGAGCCTTGTACCTCCAGCAACAGGAAGCGCCTGGCCCGCTATTCCTCAGGACCTGAGTGAGACGCTGGTTCTGACCACGGCTCTGGGTTACAGCCTGTTAGCCTGTGAGACATGCTGCTTTGATCCTGTGAGTATGTCCAGCAGGCAGCAGGTCCCTGACACAGTCTCTGCTGTTTGAAGCCTTCTGTCGGTGCGAGTTAGTCTGAGGAGTCTTGATGGCACCCCGAGCCATCCTTTGCAGGATTGATGAGTGTCTATTAAGAGGATTATTGTTGGTCATGTCAGGAAATTTATTTTGATTGTGTACATATCGCTAGACTTAAATTTTGTGCAACTTATCTCTTAGCCCTGAGTTATAAATTTCTGCTCCTCGATCCCTTTGACTGTTTCTGCTCAGCAATTAGCGTTTAATTGATTCAACCACTGAGTGATAAACAGAACTTTAATCACTCCTGCGTTCATTAAAAGTCAACATTTATACAACAGTGCAGTTGCATTCAGAGACCTGCAGGCGGCGCCGCCCTCAAACCAAATTCCCACATATTGTTGCTTTAAGCGTCAGAATATTATAATGTTCGTTTTTTGATGATGCGGTCGGTGAAAAAAAAAAAACATACTCAAGTTTTGGTTTTGAAGCAAAGTCGTCTTTCCTGTTGAATAATGTTTCGCCTCGGGCTTCTGTGTGTTTCCTGCTTCATCTGAAAACGTTGCAAATGTCTTGAGGGCGAGTTATCAAATAAGGAAACAGGTTATGAAACACACAGATTAATATCAATCATCAGGAGGCCAACAGTGATGAAGTTGATTACTTATTTATAGTTCATTTAAATGCCTGAAAGTGCTACCAGAGGACAGGTGTCAGACGAAATGATAAACTGCATTATTATGAAAACTTTAATCGAAAGACATTTACTGCTTGAACAATCTAGCACAAGCTAACTGAAGGTGTTTGGTACCTTCCTGTCCAACAGGAAGCAGATCAACTCTGAGTCTTCGGCTGAAAGCCAACACAAGGTTCACTCGTTTCAGAACAAGCTCTATCCGCTTGGTGTTACTCTTTATGTTTATATTTAGGTTTTTCAGGAAAATGCTGCTGAGTTCATCATTATTAGGACACGTTAAAATAAATATATGTTAGCCTTTTTGCACATTTTAAGATGTGTATGTAAGTTCTTCAGTTGAGTGTATTTAAAAATTAAAAACCTGTAAATTAATCGACCCCTGTGTTTTGTTGTGTTCACAGGAATCCGCCAAGGTTTCAGACCTCAACCCCAATGCGAAAGCATGGGCCAACCACATGTTTAGCCTGGACCCCAGCGGGAGTGCTGACACCACCACTGCTGCCCTGCAGCCATGGAAGGAAGGCTGCGATAGTTTGGCTGACCCCGGCCCAGAAGGTGAGCGCAGAAATATAAGCATTACTTTTCTGTTATTTTGATATTTTATTTTGAAATTATATTTGATTCAACTTAAACGCAAATCCACTGCTCTCGAGTCAAAAACCCCGAGAGAGGCGTGCACAGGATGTAAAAAGCAGACAGCTGGTTCTAGACTGTTTCACTGATCATCTGCAAACACTTTTATCAGTAATAATCTAACAGCGATTGTTTGTCTTGTCTCGTTGAATCACTCGCACACCTTTTACGTCACCTTGCAGCGCGCCTCCCTCCCTTCATGTCACTTTTCACGTCACGCTGAGACGCCTCTTAAATCATTCATACTCAATTTAGTGTGAGCACATGAATATTCCCGCCACAGCCACCGGTCTCCCCGCACAAAATGACGGTAATCACTCACTTTAATGTTCCCAGCCAACGCAGAGCCAACAAGTGTACGGCGGCCAAACAGAAAATGATTGATTAGTCCGTGTTCGACTCGGATTGACGTCCAGGATTATATCATCTCCTACGTCTGTGGGGACACTTATGGAGATTCATCGCTGACGACCGGAGACTTGATATTTTATATTTAGTCACACTAAAAGGCTTTTAACGGCACAGGAGGAAACCTCTTTTCCTCTGCGCTGACAGTGAACGGGTCCTGCTCACCAAACACTCGCTGGTACTAGAGCTTACATGAAGAGAGTAACACGACCTGCAGACGCATTTTAAGATCAATTTGAGCAAATAAAAACCAATCACTGTTATTAAGGTGACAAAACTATAATGACTGGAAGTCCCACTGGTCGCCTTTTGTCTTGGCCAAAAAAGTTCCACTTGAACACACCGTCAAGACTACAACCAACGGCCAATCACCAAGTTTGTCTGCGCATGTGTGAGTGGAAATAACTCTCCATACCAGCAGGGGGTGGTAGTCCGTTGTTATGATACAAGAAGACCATTTTCACCCCGCTGTTGCTCACCACTCGTATTATAGGTCGTCTACTAATGGAGAATAATGTCTGATAAAAAGTTGAAAATGGTGCTGCCGTTGTCAGCTCTTGGTCTTTTAGTAGAAAAACAAAAGAAGAGGCGGAGGAGACAAATAAGGAGAAACCGCACTAATGGGTGAAAGCATGGATACTACAGCGGCATGCTCAAGGGGCTTTAGAGAACCTGAGAGGAGAGCTGGAGAGAAATGAAACCTCCCAGCAGCCAATCAGAGAGATTCATCACCGACTGCCGATGCTGCACGTTGTAGACTTCACTGAACACGATAAAAATCATCAAACATGAAGACAGTGTAAACCTTTTCTCTCCCTGGGAAACCCCCAAAATGTGACTGCGACTTATTCTTATATTCTGGGTTTTACATGAAGTTGCAATCCACATAGAAAAGAGACGATTTCATCCCAGCTCACCTAAAAAAAAATCCCCATATCTGATTATTTATTTGTACATTTGGATCCCCCCGTCTGTCTCGATAATCCTGTATAAATCAGGCTCTGATACAAACTGTGTATAATGTGTATTAAATGTCGGGATAGATAAATGCATCTCTAAAGCAGCAGCCAGATTCTGCGTCTGGTGAACAGATTTTGGATTTATGGGCTCAATTAAACACTTCGGGTGTTAGCTCAGTAGACTGTGTTTGTTTTGCTCTTTTTGAAAAGTCATTCTCAGCATAAGTTACCATGGTGATCTTCCCCCGGGGGTAAGACGTTAACCACCATTTGTAGCCCTGTAGAAACAGCTGAAACGCTGAAATTATGTTTTATATTTTACACGCAGGGTACCTCAGAGAGTTGCAGGTTAATGTTTTAATTGTTTAACATGAAAAGCGTATTTATAGACAGTTTTCCTGTAAGTTGAAGTTCCCGTTCCTAAAACCAGTGATTAACACGCCTCCTCCTCCTCCTCCTCCTCCTTGTTTTGACATTGCAGGCTATGAAGCCAGTGAAGACAAGGCCTACAAGGAGCCTCTACTAACCGACCCAGATGAGCCTCCTCCGGTCTCAGTGATGCTGGCCGAGCCGGCCCCAGCGGCCCCCGTGGCCCCCGTCACCCTGGAGGGCTCCGAGCCGTCCTACACAGAATACTCTGAGCCTGGGCAACCAGGGCGTACAGGTGGGCTGCTTAGTGATTGGTTGTTTTCCTGGCCTGTGTCTGCCAGGCCTCAAAGTTTTTCCTTAGTAAATGAGGATTGGACCTGCTACATCTAAATCCATATCTGGAGAGCCTTTACAACACAAGTTTAAAACACATGACCTACACGTCCAACATTTCCAAATCAAAGACATTTTCTCAGTGATAAAAAAAAGTCTGTTTGAGTCTGTTAAAGTCTAAAATCACAGTTCTCTCTCCCCCCCCCCCATGATGAGAAAAGTCCATCCTCTCCATCTTCTCCCTGCTCCACTTTTCAGAAAATGTGTGCTCAAACAGGCCGTTTGGAGATTTTCCCTTCATGACATCACAAAGGGCAGTAGCCCCTCCCCCAGGTGGGTGACACTCCCACAGCTAGGTGTTTGTTCTGCCCTCTGAGTCTGCCTTCTCACCGTAAACAATAGGACGTGGAGCGAGAAAGCACAGAGTACACCCGAGCACCTTCCAGAGAGGGGGGCGTGGTCAGACACAGCTCATTTACATATTTAAAGGTACAGACACAGAAAGGGCCTGTTCTGAAGGGCTGAAATAGAGGGGTTTATAGACATGATCAAATAGGATCAGAGTGGATTTAGAACAAGAAACTTCACACACATGTTTTGAGGAGCTCTGAGACTTATTTACACTGTTTGAAAAGGAGGAGAATATGTGACCTTTAATTCAAATTGTCTGTTTGGTTTCCTTGATGACGGCATCACATGATGTTGGGAGTTCTGCAAGTCCTCGGGTTCCTGATCTATTGTTGTGAGGAACATTGTGACCACAAAAGAGCTGTTTTTGTGTTTTTTATGTTTTATTTATCAGAGCATTTAACTGTTATGACCAGGAGCAGAAAACATTCTGTGCCGAGACATTTATCTTCAGTCTAGCCTTTTACCTGAAGGGAAAGTCGGATGGCAAGAATAGAGAAACTAAACAGTATAAACTGGAATCTGACCAAGTTTATTATCTCAAATATCTCTGATCAGTTAATTTTAGCCTAACAGGTCCAGATCAACATCTTATTTCAAGATATTAAAAAAGTTTCTACTTTTTTTGTAGCATAAACCAGCTCTTCCTGTTTGTCTTCCCGCCCAAATAAAAGCCTTCCACGAGTCGCCTGGTCCGTTTGTTAGAGAAGAATATGTAACCCCCCCCCAGGATGTTGGATTTGTTAAAGCGATCATTTAATTTGCTGAAACATTTCCTCCTCTGTGCATCAGCAGGTAGTGAACCCCAGCAGGAGAATCCCCAGGAGGGCTTGAGGGAACAGCTGAAGAAGACGTTGGAGTTTTGTCTGTCCAGGTGAGTTTACCTTGATACCTTTGCACCACGTTGCATCACCACGAGGTGCTGCTGCCTTGTTCTTTTCACTGATGGCTGCTGAGGCAAAGATCTTGTTGGATGGTTTAGTTTTCCAGGATAGTACTTTATACCTACATCCAGACGGGAGGAGCTGAAATTTAACATTTAAAGGGCGATAGTCGTCTTTTAAAACAGAGCCAGATATCCTCTGTAACTTTCTGCTGTACAGGGATTTCTGGGTTAACCTGCGACTCTCTAATCAATCGACCTACTGGATCATTTCACAATTTGATTTAGACAGATTCTGTTTTTTAAGAGACGGGTTCCCAAACCACGACACCAAGCAAAAAAAGATCCAAACAGATTCGATAAATTTAGGTCATCAAGGGTCTGTGGACGTGGGAGGACGAGGAGGAGGAGGACGAGGAGGACGAGGAGGAGGAGGACGGTTTTCTGCTGCTCAACCGCAAAATTCTGCAGATCCGTTTTCTCCCAGCCGTCAGCGCTCAGCAAGTGTTTCACAAAGCACTTATAGTGAGCCACAGCAAGAGAAAAAAAAACTAAAGTAGCTCCTAAGTGATCATTAAGAAAAACCACCAAGACCCGAGAAGAAAGGCGACCGATGGGAATCCCCTGTTTTAGTTCTGCTGCCTTCTGAAATCCTGTTTATAATCTTCATCATGAACAGATCATGTTGCTGTAACATGAAAACATTCCTCTGGTTTATTATCCAGTTTAAAGCCGTTTTCACACATGCACTCTGTGTGAGTGAAAAATGTGTCTGTTTGCGTTCACACATGCAGCTCCTCCTGGAAATATCCTGAGTTTTTCAGGAGTTTTTTTTTTTTTTACACGCTTACATCCTGTTTATTGCATCGTTCTTACATCAGGAGACCCCCCCGCTCCCCTTCCCGTCCCGTCTGACTGGGGGAAGTCTCCCGCTGTGAGGTGCATGTGTGAACAGCCAGGTCAGGGGGATTTCAGGGGCCTTCCTCCTTAAATTCTTACGAGTGAATATGTGAAAACGGCTCTGGTTTGTCCTTATGTTTTTGTCTTTACCGACTAGGAACAAGCAATCAAGAAACATTTACTGCGCTGTCAGCTCTTCCAAAACAAACCACAGTAGGATTCATGTAAACCTGAATGCTAATGACCTCAAATGAAGAGTAGACAGAAGAGAAGAAGACAGGAAAAAAAAAAAGTTAGGATATGAATGTAGAAGAAAGGTGTCGAATCAGAACAACATCCAGGTCCTGGCCGGGAGATAAGTCCGGACTTATCATCTAAACACTTTAACATGTTCTCTCCATTTTCTCTGCATGACTGTGCTGCTCCTGTGAGATGCTATCCAATTAGAACATTTTATCTGTAGCCTTTAACCTGAGTCACAGCCCGGCTTAGTGACTTAGAAACAGCGTTTAACCGGCTCTGTGGTCCTGATTTAATCAAATATTAATTTGTTGACTCATTCTGGTGATTATGATGAGTCCTTTAGCCGTACATCTCTGTTCAGAAAGCCGCACTCTGATATCTGCGCTGCATCCTAAAAGTGTCATAACCCCCCACCCCCCCTCTGCCCTCGTCTTTGTCTCGCAGGGAGAATCTGGCCAGTGACATGTACCTCATTTCCCAGATGGACAGCGACCAATATGTGCCAATCGTGACCGTGGCCAACCTGGACCACGTCAAGAAGCTCAGCACAGACGTGGAGCTGATCGTGGACATTTTACGATGTGAGTATCAAGTCTTTTTGTGACCCCCTTTAATGTGAAACAGTCATATCAGGAATGGGACTTTGACAGCGGTAGCAACTTAACACAACTCGTCTGAAATAAAAAGGACAGAAACAAAACTAACCCTGAACAAAGCTCACAGCTAAAGACTACAACGTCCTGAGAAGTGAACACACAGAGACTTAAAAACATCTTTGTCTCGTATAATAAACTAAACACACAAACACTTATTCTTTTTACCTATACTGTAGGCTACCAATATAATGTATTAATTTTAACTTATGATGTAAAGATATTGATAATGACATTGTTGTCTCACTCACTTTTTAATTTACACAAAAGGAGTTCATATTTATAAGACTGTATGTCTCTGTTTATGAAAAAGTAGCCACGTGCAGTAATATAGAAAATTGAAGATGCATCGTGATATCAAATCGTAAGACCAGTGAAGATGCACAGCTCTATGTGCAACGATGGTAAAAACTGGTCTTTGATTCAGACCAGAGCAAACGAGCTAAAGGTGTGAAAACGCCCTTTAGTATGAAGGTTCATTACCAGCTTGCTGTTTAACAGACCCAGAGTCCATGAGGCTTAAGGGCTCATTCTTTCTTTCTTTCTTTTTGAATTTCCAGCTCTGCCGTTGGTTCAGGTGGATGAGAAGGGGGAGAAGGTGCGACCCAATCAGAACCGCTGCATCGTTATTCTCAGAGAGGTTCCTGAGAGCACGCCCATAGAGGTCAGTGGATGTGCACCGTGTTATGTTCTCTACTCTACTGTTGCTCTACTGTTTCCAAGCATTCATCTAAAGACACCGGTTCAAGAATCATAACATTTCTATAAAGGCTCCTGTCCACGCTCTTGAAGGAAGAACGATTTATTCAAAGTTCAGTTTGGGTTTAACTTTTATTTGCTGGTGCGTTGTCACTATTTCAGAAGGTTTTGTCTTGAGTGCATCCAAAATAATTGAAATAACTCAGTGGCTTAATTTCCTCTCTTGTTTGTTCTTAAGGAGGTGGAAGCTCTTTTTAAAGGGGAAAACTTACCCAAGTTCATCAACTGTGAATTTGCCTACAACGACAACTGGTTCATCACCTTTGAATCAGAAGCTGACGCACAGCAGGTAAGAGAACGACTCCAAAGAAAACAGTGACGTTTGATGGATGAAGTTGTATTCCTGTCGTTTTGTGTTTCATATAACTGGTGACCTAACACTCTCCTGTCCCGTCTCTTGTGATAAAGGCATATCAGTATCTCCGCGAGGAGGTGAAGACCTTCCAAGGGAAGCCTATAAAGGTACGTTTCACTACAATACATTGTACAATAATGGCTTTTTCTTTGTTTGTTTTTTAGAGCAACAAATAATGATGAAACATGTCGACCCAAAATACCAAAAGTGACATTTTGAGTGAACTTCCGAATGAGCTTCCGAGTGAGCGTGTCCTTACAAGAGCTGCCGATCGAAACAAGAGATGTATGTTTTTAAAGATTGGATCAGCAGAATAAATCTGAAAGCAAATATATTACCACTCGTTGTAGCGGATAAAAAGTCTCCGTCTCCCCCCGAGTTACTTAACTTTTAGACTCTACTCTATTTCACCTCGTTTTCTTTGCATCCGTCTGCAGGTAATGATTGTATCTCATGTGAGAATCTCACAGTCACAGTCACAGAACGGCACAAAGTCCTTCCTCATGCATACTTAATCAGTGTCAGAAAGTAACGCACATCAAGGGTTTGTAGCCGACATCCTGCAAATCTCAGATCTGCACTCGAGAGGTTCATTCAGAGGTGGAGTGACATCACTTTAAAAAAAAAAAAAAGAAAGAAAGTTGTTCCACTAATGCATGAAAATCCTCAAACAGCACAGAAGAAAAGCCCGGCCTGGCACAGCTTCTTTCTCCTCCGCTCGTTCACAGACTGAGGCTGTTGGTGTTAATTTTGTGGAAAGGTTCATTCAGGGATTTTTTTAAGTATCTATTTTTTTACATTTTAGGGGTCATGAGAACAAAGTCTGAACATTAGAAAGGGTCTGCAATGGCTGCTCATGATCCCAGTTCCAGACTCAGATTGTGTCTAATGCTGCATTCATGTAGTGTCAGACACAATCGGAAAAACGAGTTTCCGAGTTGTAAAATGCACATGAACACCTGCTCAAGTCGGAACAGCTTCACGAGGGGCAAAATATGTTTGGTTAATTTTAACATACTTTTTAAAAATTCACGTATTGCAAATCAACTTTTTGCTCAAATATCACCTGTAACAGTTACATTTCACTGTTCTTCTTCTTCGTAGCATCAACGCAGTTTTTTGCTGTTGTTAAAACATTCCGACCTGAAATCACTTGAACACACTGAAGTCGGAAGAACGACTTCCCAACTCGGAAACTTGGAGCACCCGAGCAGCACCTGAATGCAGCATTACACAGTGTCCTAGTATGAGAAGGAGCGTCACTTATCAATAATTCTGTCTAACGGGGGCTTCTTGTTACCTTCTTGTGTTTATTGGATCCAGCAGTCACTTTTATTTTTTTTCCATTCACACCTCATCCTAACGTGAGCGTTGGATTTTGTGTGTTGCATGCTCACTGTCCACTAGGGATGTAACGATTTATTTTACAAAATGAGACTGAAGACAAATCATGAGATGACTGAAAAAGATCCTTTTAATTTTGTCATGAAAACACCTCGGCACCTCGTAGTCTCTTTGGCTCTTGCACTCGTTTGGGCCCCGCTTGTTAGTAAGGTTTGGCTTCCTCAGCTGCCATGGTGACGCCTGCTTGTTACAACCTACCGCCTCTGCTCTGCAGCTGCTGATGCTCACCATGTTACTGTGATTAATTTTCAGAGTACCGATCGGAACCTTGATATTTTTAAATCAATTTTTAACTGCCTCACGATGAATATTCACATCCCCGCTGTCCACTCTGTGAAATATCTCATTCTCTGCTCTGTGATCATCTCTTTGTAAACACTTTGACATGTGGTGCTTTTTGTAGTGAAGGTTGTCAAACTGAAGTGTGATGCTTTCACTCTAACCACAACACTCAGAGGCTTGTTAACTAACGGCCAAAATACGTTTTTCCTCCGGTGTTCACACAAGTCAATGCTCAACATACTATTAATGCACCGCTATCTCCACTTTGTAAACAAGCTAACGAGCTGTGTCGAGTGAGATAAGCGAGTGCTAGCTTGTCATTTGTGTGTCATAATGGATGTTACTCTCTCGCTGACTGAACAGCGGGTTCTGTTTTGCTCTGCGGTGGTACCTCCCTTCCCATGTATGCATAAGAAAAGAAATGTACCACATATCCGCGTTGCCGTCTGGTTGCTAACTGTCCGCTCTGCTCTCACTCTTTCCTCCAGGCGAGGATAAAGGCGAAGGCAATCGCAATCAACACTTTCATGCCAAAGAACGGATACCGGCCGGTGGAGGTAAACCCGTACGCCCAGCAGCGCTACACGTCTTACTACATCCCGCCGGTTTACAGCCCGCAGCAGCAGTTCCCCTTGTACAGCCTCATCACGCCGCAGGCCTGGTCCGCCACACACAGCTTCATCGACCCCACGCTGGTAAGAGTCATTATCGATCTTTGTAAAGTTACGTGTCATTTGAAGCAACGAGCTAGCTAAAGAGCGCTAACATTAGCATGCTAACACGACAATGCAGACCACAGGTGATTGCAGCTCGAGCAAAGGTCAGAGCCCCCCAGTCCAAAAAGTCTGGACACGCCCCCTGCCGACACCTGTGGTTAAAAAGCAGTAGGTGACCTCTCGGGAAGTTACTAAAGAAAAATCCTGTCAAACATTTTTTACCCCCCACTGTGAGACCCCTCTGCCTGCTTCCGTCTTCAGACCCTGTGGCAGAAAACAAATCAATCTTCTTCCTGGTGATCGTGTTTCCTCTTGTTGCTCATAAAGAGGAATCAGTATTAATTTCAGTTTGTTTAATAGCTAAACTAAAACTCCCGACAGGAGCCTTTATCTCAGAGCTCTTCTAACAGGTGCTTACTGTTGCTAGGCTACAAAAGATGGACTCCTCACAGCGCTTTCCCCCTCCCCTTAATTAGTGACCACAAGGTGTGTTTTTAATAGCGCTGTAGTCAACATCAACAGAGCTGTTTGAATGTGTGGAGGGAGCTTTGAGGAGTCACTGCCAGGAGAGAGACCAGAACTGATGAATTATCACAAACAAATGCTCCAAAGTACCATCGTTTGATTCACGTCGATCACATCCATTTGTTTTCTGCTTGGTTTGCCACTTGATAACTTAAGCTCCCGCTCTACACAGACACGGTGAGATGAGCACTTAGACTTGATGTGAATGCAGCAGGGTGAATCTGTTTTTTTCTGTTTTCCCAGGTTGCACCATTTCACAACAACCAGTTCATCAACGGATTTACCACGTCACACAGCTTCAAACCAGCGTCGTCCCCGCTCACCGTCAGACACTACTCGCCCAGGAACAGGTTCGTATTTGTTTTGTTTTGACATGAGGTCATCAAAATGTTGAGACTTACAAATCTGGGATTTTAACAATCGATTAAGTACCAACACGTTTTTGTTTTTGTTTTTTTTTAAAGATTTATTTTTGGGCTTTTTGTGCCTTTAATAAAGAGATAGGACAGTGGATAGAGCTGGAAATCAGGGAGCGAGAGAGTGGGGAATGACATGTGGGAAAGGAAGCACAGGTGGGATTCGAACCTGGGCCGCCCGATTGGAGGACTATAGCCTCCATACATACATGTGTGCGTTGTAGAAGAATGAATCCAGAGCATTTTAGACAGTTTTGTCAATTTAGTTGCTCTGCAGACCTCGTCAAGTCTCTTGTGGGGCGGCTGTGGCTCAGTTGGTAGAGTCGGTCATTTCTCAACCAAAAGGTCTGGGGTTCGATCCCCGGCTCCTGCAGCTACATGTCCGATGTGTCCTTGGGCAATGGGAATGGTGGTGCTATACAAGCTCAAGTCCATTTTCCATTTTTTTAAATGCAGGATTGTGACCTAATGAGGGAGAAATAACGCTTCCAGTTTGTTCCATGTTGATGTGTATCGCTGCACGTTTTGGTGCAACAAAGCGGCCACTTGAAAACACAATGGGGGGGATCACGATTTGATTTGATATCGATTCAATATTACACATAGATGACAGAAATACTGAGATAACTACTCACAGTGCCTTCTTAGATTTGTTAAATAATTATTTGTTTGTATTTGTTTAAAACAAACTGACTCAGAAATGTATTTTATCGTTGAGTTATTCTTTAATAAACAAAGAATAAAACATGAAAGTACACAATGATCTTAAGTGCAAAAATTGTGCCTGACCTGAATTCACAGCACCCACAGTGCCCCCTAGTGGAGAGGGGTGTCATTACAATGAGAGAGAAAAAATTAATCTCTGAATTTCCCTGAATCGATATTGAATTGGGGAAATAATAATTGCAATGCTTTAATGAATCGATTTTTTTAACCAGGGCTAGTCATGACGGAGCATGTCTCAGCATGTTATGCTGGTATAGTGGTCTCAACAATATGTTGGACACGGAGCATTTTTTAGATGACAAAATAGCTATTTAAAGTGTCTTTGACGTTACTCATAGAAACCTACTGGGGGGGAAATAAAATGCAGAAAATAGATGCAAACATTTGGAGGTTTAGATTAAATGATTGTTTGTACTCAAATCACTCAAATGTAAAAAGTTGCTTCTTAAGTTCTTATCAGTCTTAAGTTTGGACCTTCTGATGTGACATGTAGCACAGAATGTGAGTATTAAAATGTTCATCTTCATGCGTCTCACTTCGGTGGTCTGACCTGTTTCCTGTTTCCTGCAGGACTCACAGTAAACCTCACCTGAGGCCGACGGTCCCGACAGCCGACCGCAGCACTGGGCTCCTAGACAACCCGGGACTCTTTCCCAGCTTCCCCAGCGAGAGGCTCAACGGTGTCCGGAGCAGTCCGCCGATGCGACTCCCCACCAGCCAGCCGAGAACCAGGTTACCCTCCACCGCAGCCTTTCCGCGCAGGGACACCGTGGGCACGGGGCGAGTGACCGAGCCCTCCACCACAGACTACTCCCTGGGTATCGGGCGAGGAAGGTACGGAGAACAGATTCTGAATTTGGTTTTATAAAGCCGTCATGCACGTTTGGAAATGTAAGAAAAAAGAGGTTTTAAGACTTTAAATGAAGTAATGATAAACGGTATTTTTAACCAAGTAGGTGACAAACTTTAAATCGTAAGATCAACATCTGGGTCTCTACGTGTCCCGTACCAGATGTGAGCAGCGGCCCCCTCCTTCCTCATTCTTCATCCGTCTACGCGAGCGACAGAGAGGAAAATAGAAAAGAGGGTGAAAACGCCGTGCTGCGTCGCTCACAGGCAGTTTGGACACTCCGATAGAAAACACTAGAATCAGGCGGATGTCGTTCACGTCGCGTTCTGTTAGGACAAAATGTTACGCAGCAGTCTCTGACGTAACATCCGGTGTTTCCATGGCGACTGTGTCTTGTCATGGCGTCATTGCGCGGGTCGCTCGTGGGCAGTTAGGACACTCCCAATTTTTTTTTTTGAGGGGGGGAGATTTTGATGCTGATGCTTGCTCACGTCGCGTGCTCTTAAGGTCAGAGACCGCTGCGTAAGAGCCTGTCCTAACATCTGGTGTTGCCATGGCGACTTGCAACTATAAAATTACAGATTTATCTGGCTTTGATAACTGCTGGAAATATTTGAGGTAATGTAAGTACTCGACAAAAAACAAAAAGTAATTTCATTTGGATTTTTTTGTTAAAAAAATTCTTCATGTTTCACATTTTAAACAACTTAATTATTTAATAAAAAAAAAAGAAAAGAAGTGGAGACGTGATGAGTCATAGACGTAAACAGAAGATGTTTGTGTTTGATCGGGAAACAAAGGAGGAACATCGGGGGAACTCTCTGATATCTGTTTGTGCACGGTGAAGTCATTGCTTTAGAAAAAACTGTATGTTTGTAAATTGAAGTGTTCTCTTTCTTAAAGGAAAAATGTTTCTGCTTCTAGGAAAAAGAGGGACGAAAAGTTTACAGTAAGTACTCTGCCTCGCTCTCATGTCGTCTGATTTCAAACTGTTGATTCTGTTTTATAATATTCATGGAGAGGCTCATTACAAAAAGACATCGATGAAGTGGGATTGAATTAACCTCTGTCTGTCTGTCACCGTCATGTAGAGAGCGACGCCTCAGTCGCCGCCGCCTCCTCCCAAACCCCCGTCCCCGAGCTTTGAGCTGGGCCTCTCCAGCTTCCCGCCGCTGCCCGGAGCCGCCGGGCACCTCAAGACAGATGATGTGTTCGACAACCGGCTGGCGAGCAGCGTCGTGGTTGGAACCGCCAAGGAACGGGTAAGAACTGAAACCAGCGCAGGTCACACCTACACATTCACACAAGAGCTGGGGATTTAACCTTTGACCTTCAGGTTGAGAATCAACTGATTAGACTTACTCTAAAAAAAAAAAAAAAAAAAATGGATGCAGCAAAGTATTGAGCTAACTCACTTCCTGTTCGCATGTTTTTATTTCAGAATGTGAGCGCTGATTCCAGCACTGGAGCAGCTCTCTCTACAGCGGGCCCCAAGGAGCCGCTCCGGTCCTCCACCTCCCCCAATGCCCACAAGCTTCCAACCCTCACCGCCAGCCTCCATCCCGGCCTCAGCCTCGACCGCAGCCCCAGCCCCGACAGTGACCGCCTCCTCCGGCGGCCCGCCACACAGTCCCGCTCCCTCCCTGCCAGCGGCGTAAGAATAACACTGACGTCACTGACTCTGAGATGAATCACAGGGTCCTCTACTCCGTGATTCTTCAGTTTTCTATCAGTAATTTAATAAACTCCTGTTGATCTCGTGTTTCAGGGAGGTGAAGGCGACGGAGACGAAGCCGAAGCCGAAGGAGGCGCCGTTATCCGTGGAGCGAGTTCCAGGCACGCTGTCCACCGCGAGCAAATCGGTGCAAGTCAACGGCGCCGCTACAGTCAGTATTCTTTTTTTTTCTTATTTCCCTCCTTTAGTCCCCCGCCTCTCCTCGGTCCTGTAAACAGGTCCCCTCTCTCGGGCGAAGGTAGGAGATCTTGCCTTTGTTCATTGATTTCTCAAAACAGATCCTGGGATCTATGGAGGTCCAATCAGTGAGATGTGTAGAGAGTGAAATGATAAAGTGATCTTCCTATATGATCAGACATTAAGGAAACATGCTATGTTGAAGTGCTGGCTTCTCTGATAACAGTGCAGCAGCCAGTATGTCCTCCTTCTAACTTTAGATTCTGCTCCTGAATGCTCTGGATTTGTTTGGACGCCTCTCTGTTTTCCAGATATGAGAGCAGTTATCAGGTCAACAGGTGTTGCAGCGATGGAAGCGGTCAAGAGAAGTGGTTCAGATAGAAGTGATTGTACCCTAACCCTAAAAAGCCTCTGCATGTTTCTAATAAGCTCCACGAGCAGAAACGTGCTCAAACTAGGATCAATATTGGAGATGCTTTTGAAAAATGGAGGGAGGTTAGAACACAGAAAGGTTTACAGAGCCATGCAGAGCTGGATAAACACTGAAGCTTCAGAGTCCACCACATGGCAATCAATCAAACCAATCATGTAAAAGTTACCAACAAAAAGAGAAGAAAAGACTGCAGGGCGCTCAAAGGCCAACATAAAACAGAAAAACCAGCACTTCATAAAAGTAAAAGTCTTCACCTATTACATGAAATATAACACACTTCTTCACTACCTAACACACCTGAGAACTACAAAACAAAACACAGCTTCACATCTTTGACTGACGTGGTATCAGAGATGCTAACTTGCCAGCATCCAAAATATTCTCCGCTATGTTTTAATACGTTTGCATTCGCAGCTGAAGGAGGAAATCCGCTGATGATAAATATGTGGAGGCGAGTTGAAGAGCTCTGAGCAGGTGTTGTGATGTACGGTCATTGGGTTTACATCATGAGACTTTTTATTCTTCCTGATAACTAAGCTGCTCGGCCCTTAATTAACGGTTACTGCTGCGTTCTCTCTGATCGTTTCTCTTTAAAGAGTACATTTTTAACTGATGTTGTGTTGTCCAGGAGCTGAGGAAGCCCTCCTACGCTGAGATCTGCCAGCGGTCGAAGGACGCCTCGACATCACAGCAGCCAGCCAACCCCAAGGAAGCCAAGCCAGCGAGCTCCGCCCCTGCGGGCGAGGAGCGGAAGTGCCCCGACGCTTCCACCCCCGCAGGAGACGCAAAGGCCAGAGAGACTTACCACACTTCCTCCAAAGCCGGCTCGGCAGCAGCCGCCACCACCACCCCGGGCAGACCCCCAAGAGAGGCCCGGAGGCCGGCCGGGCGGTGGGCCTCGCCGCCCCCACACCCAGGGAAAACCCCAAACAAAGATCCCCACCACACCCCGCCCAAATCTCCGCAGTAATGCGACCCCCTCTTCCTTCCTGTAACCACGCTGCGCTGATGCGTTCAAAAAAGAGAGAAAAAAAGGAAATATAAGTCAGGGCTACTCGATACTTCTATCCCAGAATCAGCAGTCACAAGCGAGCAGTGAGGACGCCTTCTTCTCTGGATCAGGGCTTGCAGACAAAAAGCACTTTACTGTGCATGTAGAGCACCGTTTCATTCTTTTATTCTATTTATTTGCTTTTTTTTTTTATTTTCTGTTTTATTTCTTTTTCTTTTCTTCTTTTTTTTTTGCATTACGTAGCTGTGTCAGCCCGTAAGTTGGCACAGACAACACTGAAATTTATTCATTCTGTCCAAATGGCCTTGTGGGATTAAATTAGTCGAGTGTGTGTGTGTGTGTGTGTGTGTGTGTGTGTGTGTGTGTGTGCGGGCGCAGCAGCAGCAGCGGGGCATTGTTTGGAGCCCCGCCTCCCGGGCGGATGACAGGAAGGAGCGGGCACAACAGACTCCACCTTTGTTGGCGCTCATAGTGAGGCGTTTGTTTTGCGTTTAAAGTGGCGGTGTTCTGCAGATTAATGTTGCTTAACTGAACGCCATGACGTGTTTTTAAATACATTTTTCATCCATATGCAAGATGTCACAGCTAAATCTCATTACAGTAAGACTCAGATCATCTAGTTTACATCATCTCAAAGTGATTTTACTGTGTTTGTTTCTTTTACTTCTCGAGGCTTTTTTTCTGTTTCTTTTTTTAGTTTCTTAGCTTCTCTGTTTTTGTTTCGGCTGGTAATCATCGCTGCGTTTTCTGTCTCTGATCATTTTTCTACTTTTAAAGAATCAACTTCTTCATCTGCTGTTTTTTATCTGTTGTCGCTAACACTGCTAACCTGCTAGCCGTAGAGCGCAGCCCGCGTCTGACGGCTCATTGGAAGATCGATGCTTTTTGCAGCATCTTGACGGGAGCCCGCGTGGAGGAGTGCAACCAAAACTTTGCTTTGTGTCGGACCGTTAGAAGAGAGTTTAAGAGGAGTTGTGGTTGTTTTTAACCCCCGGGCTCCGTCTCTAGATATTTAGGGGTCTGAAGGAGTGATGGTCAGTAAATGTTTTCAAATCGCTGCGGCTGCGGTGTCATCTTTGGAGGTTGATTTGTTGATCTGAACGTCCGCCAAAACACCTGACGGCTTCAGATTGTTTTTCTTCAAGTGTCTGACAACACAGAGAAAAAATAATTAGACCTTTCTGTTGACGAGTAAGACGCTACATCCCTGTGATGTCATCCTGCCATCGAACGTCTATAAAAGTGGATGACGTGTCACCACCTCCTGTTGTGTTAAAGTGAAGCCAAAACAGCTCAAGTCGGCATGTGGCTTTGAAGGAGATTTTCACAGTTATGTAACGTTCACTGACTCTTGTGTTGGCGTTCGTTGTGTTTCCTCGCCTTTCATCCTCTGTTCTAACGATGCACACTTTAATACACTGCAGCAACCGTAGTCGCCGATCATGGCATTTTTCAAAGCATCATATAACAAATTAAAATCTTAAAAACTTCTCTGAAAAATAAACACATGGACATGAATCAGCTTAAAAACTGATCATGGTGACAGAAAAACATTTTATTTGACTTGTGTTTTGATTTGATGTCCCATCTGTTTACATTGAGGAGGCAGAGCTTATGATGTGTACTGAAGCCAGCCAGTAGGGGGAGCTCCAACAATGTTCTGCCGTCACTTTTTGGGAGCTCTTCCATCTTTTAAAACGGTCTCTGAGTCAGACGCTTAAAGGGACAATGGAAGCCTCAGTTGTGATATAATATATCTGGATTTTAAAAATACCCCGAGTCGGCCCTTTAAGAGAGTTCTCGTTTCTCCAATCGCTTGCCGTGTGTGAAGACATTTCAAGAGGCGTTGGAGGCAGAGCACGCTTTCTACAGCGCGAGTGCTCTCTTCTCGTTTCTGTTTATAAACAAACTAAACTGTGGACTGAAAAGCTTCAGCTGGCACATACTGTCAAAGGACGACGTGGGGCAGACTCGTTTAGAATCCAGCGGTGACCATGAAACGACGGTTTTAGGGGAGGAAACACGGGCGAGCTGTTAAGAGAAAGGAAGACATTAACAGTAGATCAGAGGTTAACCCACGTCTGTGTTTCTCTGTGAGCGGAGAGGACGACGCAGCTGAATATCTGCGGAGGCAAAAATATTTTTTCTGTCAATGACTGCGATGAGTTTAGAGCGGCGTTTTGGTAAGAAGAGGCGGCGGCGGGATGCTTCTCGTTCTCGACCTTGTAGGCAGTGGTGCATTTCTCGTTCTCCGTTCTGGGTGTGGTGCCTCGACGTCGACTACAGCTCATCTCAACCTGCTCGCAGGGAAACCTGTTTAAGTTGCACTGTTGCCGTTTTCTCCGACTCGGGAGCGGTTAAATGTTTTCAGACGATCCTAAATGAAGCGTCTCATTTAAAAAGAAAAAAAAAAAAAAAGGGAATTGATCTCGGAGATGCAAGAGAAGAAAATCGCTCTGTTTTCTTTCTTTTTTTTTCTCCAGGTGCAAATGAACCCAAGAAAAAAAAAACGTGCATCAGCATCTCTGTCGACGTGGTCGCTCACGCCTTCTGCTTGTGTCATTGCCCGATGAACACAGAGAGACGGGTGCGTTGCACTATTTTCAGGGCTGGTTGAATAATGGTTGCTTTATCGCTGACGGGAGGCGGCGTGCTGTGGTTTTGGGATGTGGGCCATCTTGGTTCTGTATCAACGACGATTGTTTAGAGTGTGGAAAGTGAGAAGGTCGAGAATCGAGAATATTTTGTACTGAAGTTAAAGCGAAGGAGGTAGATGATGAGTGGATTGTTTTGGGGGAATGTAGTTTGACTGTGGAAGAGATTTTAGTTGCACATCTTGTTGGGCTAAGCGTCACGAGGCAGAGAGAGAGAGAGAGAGAGAGAGAGAGAGAGAGAGAGAGCAGAGCGGTCGTGTGAAATCTTTTTCCTCGCGGTGAAGACGTTCAGCTGCTTCTTTTCTTTGGTGCCGAGTCTTCAACAGAAAGGGTTGTTTCTTTTCTGACCACATGCTCCCCGTCTTGGTTTCTTCTGGTTTGCACACTTTCATTTGTCCAGAGATTAAAATAAATAAATGAATAAAAAAGATTGCTCGAAGCACACACACAAAGTCTTCTTCCTGCTTCACTCACACGTTCATGGGACGGTGAATTAAAAGCACAGAGTGGAAGGACTAAAAACAAAACCTTCTCACATCCTTTACTCGCCTTTTAGTCGACAGGACGGAGACGCCGTACCTGCAGCCGCACAATCTCTGGCTTTAGGAGACTTATCGCAGCAGCATTTGGCACGGCAGCGGTTTGTCTCCGAGCTGCGTGATTGGTCGGATTCTTTGAGTGAAGTAGAAAGAATTCAGATGCGAGGAGGAAGTGTTCAATCTAAGATTTGGACGTGACGTCTGTCTACTGTAGCAGCCACTTTGACAGATAACCGAACCCAAGTCTTTGATTTTGTTTTTTTAAACAAACATCTGGTGAAGAGGCAAAAATAACTGAAGAGTTTCCCCGATGACTCTGAACTACGGAGAGATAAAAGTTGACGTTCTCCTTCCCCGTGCATCGTCTGTGTGCTCGAGTTAATCTTCCACAGTTTTCACCTCAGATGCAAAACATCCATAAAGATTTTTTAAAAAAACACAACCCCACTACAATATATATACACACAATAGAAACCTACACGACGTGGGACCTTGCATGTCTCGCCAAAGTCTTCCTGCAACCACAAGCATTCTGGGTAATCCCACTGAGAGAGAGGCGGCGTGGAGAAGGGAACGCTTCAGTCACAGGCCTGTACTCCTGCTCCGAGCTGCTTTTGAATTTTGGAAGCTAAATCTTGAGTTTGCTTAAAATGATATACATATATATATATATATATATTTTGTTTTATTTTGAAGGACAGACGTGCACTTGGATGGGTCGATTATTTTTGTTGTTTTTTTTTCCCATTGGTGGAAATGCAAGCAAAAAAAAAAAAAAGTTTAAAAAAGCGCACCATATCCACCGTTATTTATGAAGCGATGCTGTTTATTCCATTGGATTACATCTTTAAGTTTTTCGTTTTTCTTTGGGAGAGAATAAAGACGCGGCGGCGCACCTCTACGGCGCCGCCGCGCTCACGCAAAATGTAAAGAAACAATTCCATCCAGTGTTTGAGAAACTTGAATTTTATTTAAACTTGAAAAATGACTTTGCCTTAACTTTTATACAAGACGAGCATAGAGTTTATTTCTTTTCAACAACAACAACAACAACAACAACAAAAAAAATCCCCAAAATGTTAAAAGAGGAGCGACGCGCGGGAGATGTTGAGTCGTATCGGGACGCCCCGAGTCTGACTGACAGAGAGAGAGAGAGAAGCAGCTTTTTCTTTCTCTTCCCTGTTTTTGTAAAACGTACGAAGAAGAATCATTTTGATTGTTCCTTTTTTTTTGTTTCTTGTTGAATAGTTTCAGGTTGTGTTTTTTTTGGGGGAAGGCGGGCGGGGCGGCGGGTGGCGGGCGGGGGATTCTAAAACCTTGTAAATGCAAAACTAGTCGATACTGTATTAAATCTGTGCACTTTGAAGTGTGTGCTTTGCTTGTACAGTTGTAAATACTCAGAAAAATATAAGAGGTACCTTAAAATGATTATTAAAAATATATTGATCTTGTTGAATTATTAATGTCGCTGTCGAGCTGGATGTAGGATTTAAAAAAAAAAAAAAAAAAGTAAATGTTGTGCTTCTTCGGACATATTTTCGTTTAACTTTTTTTTTCTTTTTTTTTTTTACTTTTAGTTTGGGTGAATTCTGCTCCTCTTTGCGGGGGCGCGCAGGTCGTCTGATTGTACTTGTTATTGTTTTGTGGTCTTTCATTCCATTTACCTGTGTGGTCGCGTGCACCTGGGTGTACAGGTTGCGACCTTAGCCCCTCCCCCTCTCCCCCCCTCACTGTGCGCTAATTGGAAAAAAGAGCCTGTGGTACTGACGAGCCTCTTCATTACAAAGCTGCGTGTCCACCAGCGTCCTCTTTTCAGCTCTGGCTTCTCTCGTTTACTCTTCGGGTGGGGAGGGGGAAAAAACACTACATCGATTTATAACGGTCAGCTAGCAACAGAAGCGCACACACACAGAAGTGCAAAGTCGGCCATTTTAAAATACTGCTGTTATAATATTGAATAAATTAAATTATTTAAAAAAACACATTCAAAGAGAGGGTAGACTTGTTGTAATTCCAGCAAATCACACCACTAGACGAAAACACTAACTGTAAAAAATAAATATACCACGTAGGTCCCGACCGATGTTGCGTTTTTTGGGGCCGATACCGATGTTGAAAAAGATATCGGCCGATATCTTTCTTAGATCTATGTTCCATCTGTACAGATGAATATTTATACACGTTTATTTTGTTGATCCCTCAAATGCAGTCATCAAACACTTGTGGAAAAGATATTTAACAAAGACAAGATGGTCACTCGATTGGAAATCCATTGTAATCCATATAGCGCCCTCTGCTGGTGAAAGACAACTGTCCAACAATACTCATTAAATGCTATTTGACTGCTGAATAAATCTATTAATATCGGTGCATATCTGGGATAAAATTAGCCGATAACGATAGTCACTATGCTAATATCGGCCGATATTATCGGCTATGCGATTAATCGGCCGGGCTCTATTTTTACACGTTTATACATACGAGGTTGAGACTATGTATTTTGTTCCTCGTGTCCATGAAACATGGACAGCATGATTCAACAATATCTCATGTTCGATGACATGAAGACGATAGAAAGCTGAAGTTCTGCCTCATTTTTAAAAGCCCGATGTTTCTGTCATCATCTTCGTTAAATTGCTGAAACGTTACTTGTGATTTTCTGTCCATATTCAACAATGGAGTTTTTAATTACACCATTTTGTTGTCAAAGTCGAGGGTAATCACCTCAGGAGATAGTTTATGATTATTTGTGGTGGGGGCAGGGTGGTGAAATGAAAAGATAAATATCTGTTAGTAGAGCTGGAGTCCTGATGTTTTTAGCCTAGCTTAGCAGAGCTAGCTTGTAAAATGTGGTGTTGATGCGTTTTTTTACTTTTTGTGTTTGTTCCAACGTTAATCAAACACGTTTCCTTTCAATCTGGGATCTCTGGAGGCGCTGATTGGCTAATTTTGAATCTTTTAATCGAGCCAGGCTACTCTAGCGGTTTCCTATTACGCCCAGTTTAACGCTAAGTAAGGCTAACCACTTCCTGAACTCTTGACTCTGTGCTGAACATACACGTAAAAGTGACATTTTTCTCAAGTAAACACTAAGGGAGTCAGCTTATTCAGTGAATTTTGAATAGTTTTATTTACCAACGATTAAATATTTCTAAGGGTGCAACTCCCACATGTAGCATCAACTAGCTAACTCTTCAGACTACTCATTAAATGTCTGATTTTCTGCACATGTACCTACTCGTTCTTAACGTTTATTTTTCCTTTAAACTAGACGTACAAGATCTTGGCTTGAATCAAATATAAAATTGGCAGAATTTAGTTAAAAATTATATTCATAATGTTCATAAATCAGACCAGAAATTGTCCCTAAAAGTTGTGATTCCTTCAGATTTGGTGAATAATGAAAAGCTCTCCCCTGCTCTTCTCGTCACTTGCGTCCATCTGCTCTTAAATCGTGTATGAATCGCTCTGACTTATGGGAAATGTAGTATTCACATTAATTCAATGGTAGGGATGAAGCAGATTTGGTTGAGGCTTTTATTTTAGGGTTTTGCTTGAATGTGGACAGAAAATTAACAACTTAGTTTTAGTTTTCAGGCCGATGTGAAAGAAACAAAATCCGGACACAGGAAGTGATCAAACTTCAGCTTTCTATCTTATCTTAAAAGCCAGCTAAAAAGACGGATGCCTGATGGACACGTCCCGGTTTTGTCTCCTGTCTTAAGACTCGCTGTGCTTCAGGGCGATCTGAAGTCTGACGCACAATAAAGCACATTTCAGAGCTTTTCACATCTTCAGCTTCTGCAGCACCCGACACTCAAAAGTGGGAGAGTGTTTCGCGGCCGGCAAATTTTAAGGGCCCGCTTGATTGTAAATTTTGGCAACATTTCTTGAGTAAGTTTTTCGAGGGGGAAGCAAATGTTTTGGGTTGTTGTCGCTGCAGAAGGCTGGGCTTGAAACTTCCCCACCAGAGTGTCGATGCAGATCTGTGTTGTAATGTCGTCCTCTGATTTATCTGTTCATTCAAGGTTTTGTTTTTTTTGTTAATGTTTCATCCGCTTTCATCACTCCCCCTCCTGAGAAAAATACATGTACGAGTTATTTTTAAGTTTTTGTTTTTTTGGGGAGTTGGGAACAGAAGCAGAGGCTTTACTGGACCTTGTTTCATGTGTTTTCAGAGCGCGTGTTTCCTGCACTCATTGAGTGGAGGAACGTGCGCCGATGGAGATATCTGTTAAAAACCATTTGATCACATGTGGACTGCATTTTGATGTGGCAAAGAAAACCAATACCTGTGCCATTATTCAGCTGTTCTTTTTGTCTTTACTGGGCGGTTCAACCTGTACATAGCTGAGCGCTTGCCATCTCGGCTTTTAGTTTTGTTTAGTTTTGTCTTTTTTTAAGATGTGATTTTCTTGTTTTCAAAAGTCCATCAAAGGCTTCTCGCATCAGGAGAAATCTACAATGTGACACCACTGACTGTAGGAGCAGTTTTTTGTTTTTGTGCGTCGTAACTTTGCGGTCGATCCCTGCCGAGGTCGCGGCATGTTTTCGACCTCTGAACATTCAAACTGGGCATCCCTGAACTGTGAATGTGTGCATGTGTGGAATAATTAAAAATGTACCACCCAGAAAAAATCCCGACCGACGCAAAGGTGACTCTCCACTGAAGGCCGGTACCTCAGACTGCATGGTACCGCTGGTGGAGGGGATCTGTCACGTTGGCGGCCGCGAGTTCTGCACGCCTCTCCTGTATCATCTCCTGTACGCTTCTTTAGGTTAGCGTTTTGAGGAGCTCCTTTTTTTTTTCTTCTTCTCATGGACTTCCACACGGAGCCTCATATCAGCCTGTCGGTCGCCTCAGCTCTTCGTCTCCTCCCTCCTGTTCGCCCGTTTTGACAGTGCCATTTTTTATTTCATTTTTCCCCTCAAGGGTTGCATCTTGTTTAAAAATGGACGCTCTTGTTGGTTGTTTGTTTTTCTTGATTTAAAAATTAACGAATGCACACCGAACTGACTGGAACAAGACTCGATGTCTTCTTCAACTCACTGTGGTTTAACTCATTAACACTCGTACCGTGCTACGCTAACAGCTGTGGACAATCGATGACCCCATTGTGTTGGGGTTGGGACAGATGACTTTGCCTAACGACACCTTTAACACGTGGAAGGAGGTTGTGTTCCAAGAGGGCTTCTTCTTCTTTTGTTTTTCATCTTTCTGTTGTTTTTCTTTATTTTATTTTTTTGGTCTATTCTTCCATCGAGACTGGAATCAAGCGTACATGTCAGCTATAGATAATTTAAGTTACTCTGTGTCATGATGTAAAACTGTCTAATTTGGAGAAAAAAATGTAGCTTACTGAAAAATAAAGATTTAGGCACTGTTGAGAAGCTGCGGCCTGTGTGTCTGTCTTTTTGAACTCACTCTGAGCTGATCCTGTGTGGACGTTTTCATCTGGTCATGAAATCAATACTGGAGCCTCTTTATGATTATAATACCTGTAACCAAGGGCGACTCTAGAGTCTCTGGGCCCTCCAACCAGCGTTCATCACCACCAGTGTCTCGACGGATCATTCCTATTTTTTTGTATTTGGTGACTTTCATTGACAAACTTTGGTTTTCACAGCATGCATGAAACGTTTCGCAGGGCAAGGAGAGTGAGTGCTGTGAGATAGGGGCCCTGTCAAGGAGGTCTCTTACTGTCATTGCAAAATTTGCGCATTTGGGCCACTGCTTTGGTTCAAAGTTTGTCAGCCCGAGGGGGCCCAAGCAGCATCCTACTTTGCCTGTTGACATGCAGCGCCTCTGCCAGTAACATCTGCTGTGGGGTAGGAGAAAATAATTTCTGTCTTTAAATGTTACAATAGAAGTATTTCTGATTTTATAAAAACATGATTGTACCTGCTTTGTTGTGTTGCTCGTCAAAACTCAAATGGATCTCAAACCAGACGTCACCTGAGGTCCGATGTGTTCCTTTAGCAGACCAGCAGGTGGCAGTATTTGCTCAGTCGTGTGCTGTGGTCCAATTTAAAAATAAAAAATAAAAAAATAAAAATAAAAAACTGGTTTGGCTAAAATAAAGTTTCACACACCTAACATGTTTAAATTAGGTGTCAAAATTAGTTTTGTCTATCAACAAACTAGTTCCACTGTTTAACTGAAACTTGGCTGTTGCCAAGCAACCCAAACATTCTCGTCTACTGTTGGTGTCCATGGTTATGAGTTGAACATCTTCCGAGGTCAGCCTGACCAGAGCGCGCCACTGCCTCCCTGTCCTGACCTCAATACCTGCTGAGGAGACCTTTGAATCAGCAGAATCCCGAAAGAGAAGGACTTCTCTGCCTAATGTGACCTTGAACTCCTCTACCACACTGCTGAAGGGAAGCTGCAGCTTGGTTGTTGCGCCCTATAATGAACATCACTCCTCCAATTGTTTCATCAGCATTACAGTTGTTGATATTTGACTGAGTCTATTATCACACTTAGCTGTTACTGCTTATAGCATACTTTTACCATTATTACTGACACTAGCGTTAAATGTATTTTATTCATTGTTGTTGTTGCTGTTTATCTCTCTCCTTCCTGAATCTCCCTCTATTCCACTTTCCAACCCGGGCACAGTTTCATCAGATGGCTGTTCATCATGAGTCTGGATCTGCTCGAGGTTTCTGCCTCTTGTAACATAATATAACAAAGAGTAAAGTCTTCATCTGCTCTTTCTGTGAAGTGTCCTGAGATCTCATTTGTTATGAAGTGGCGCTATACAAATAAAGATTGTTCCATTGATTGATTGAGCCCCGTGTGAAAATGTTCATCATGACATCAGAAATAAAAATGTTTACAGCTTCGTTCGAAAACAGTGTTTGTCTTTAAAGTTCATTTCTCTCCACAACAACAGGATTTTTATGCAATTCACCTGTTTACTTTATATCAAGGCTTAAAGTGGTGTAGAATTAGGGGTGTGGCCTCTTTGAGTGACAGGTGGAAGCTGCTAGCTGTCTGTTAGGTGAGCTTTATCCCCGGTTAACAAGACCTGTAACTCTAATGATGCATTCAGGTCATGTGAAATATAGGAAAGAAAAGCTCTGCTCATTCCTCAGAGACAAAGCTGTTTCAGTGAGGAGTGTTGTGTCCCTGCTCTAGAGGAACCTGAACACAACATGAGTGAACCCCACTCTTCCCACTCCCCAAGAAAGCCAGCAACGCAAGTCAAATTCAGATTTAGAGTAGCAGTTTAATCGTCTTCAGAGGTGAGAAAATGGCCAATACAACAACAAAAAATGTATAACTTACACAACAGACCAGACAAGGTCGAAGTACCACCCATGAAGTTTGATTGACAGATGACGACGATCAGATCTCAGCAACGAGCATTATTTCAAATCAAGTTGAAGATTTAAAACACAGCAAGTTAAACATCTGTCTCGTTAATGACTTCTGTCTATTTCAGTTTACACAACTCAGCAGTGGATCCAGACCAATAAACCCCGAATCCTGCATGTAGAGGCTGAGTGAATGTGGTCTGGACTCTGTGGAGGAGAGTCATGGTTTCAGAGATGCTGTAGAAGGACAGAATACCTGCTCTGTGATCCAGGTACACTCCTACTCTGGAGGACCGAGGACCTGAGACACGAGTTTTGACTTTGTTGTAACAAAATTTATATCTGTTGTTGTAACAAATTAACTGCCAAGATTTGTCATTGAGTCCAAACAAACATTCATCTGAGCTCCCTGTTCTACGGATATTCTTGTATGCGACTGCTACACAAACTCCTCCTCCTCCTCTCCTCTCCACCTCCCAGTAACAACGTCCAGTCAGACTCTCTTTACTCAGGACCTGCCAACAATCAGTGAATCTGTCTGGGTGACTAAAATAAGACTGTTGTTCTAACATTGCTGTTGCTTTTCTGTTCTCATCAGATAATAACAGCTGTGTGTAAGCTGTGTTTGGATCCAGTGTGATGTCACATGAATATTTTAAGAAATCAGCTCTGGTCTTGGGCTCTGGTTCTGATTCTGACAGTAAAACATCCACTTCAGTCACTGTCTGTGAGATGTTTGTCAATTTCTCTCTCAGGACGTCCTGTAGTTTATCTCTGACTTCTGATACAGCCGTTGTCACATCCTCAAAGTACTTCAGAGGATGGATCTTGATGCTGGATGAGTGTGTAGATTCACTGAGTGGTGACAGTGAGGGGTAGTCGTGTAGAAACTGGTTGTGATCTTCTGTGTGTGAGAGCTTCTCCAGTTCAGCGTCTTTGCTCTTCAGCTCAGTGATCTCCTGCTCCAGCTTCTCCTGAAGCTCTCTGACTCGACTCACTTCAGTTTGCTACTGGGATCTGACCTGCTGCTTCACATCAGAGCGTCTTTTCTCCATGAGACGGATCAGCTCAGTGAAGATCTTCTCACTGTTCCCCACTGTTTTATCAGCGGAGCCATTGATAGCATCCACCTCCTGTTGGAGCAGCTTCACATCTTTCTCTCTGTCCTGGATTCTCTGCTGGATGTTTTGCTGACTCACCTCGAGCTCTCTCTGCCTCTCGCTCCTTTCTGCTGCAGCGGTGACTGTGTCATGACCTTTGTGTTCGTCCACAGAGCAGAGATAACAGATAGACTGCTGATCAGTCCGACAGAACATCTTCATCACCTCATCATGACGAGAGCAGACGTTCTCCTGGAGCTTCTTGGAGGGCTCCACCAGCTTGTGTTTCTTTAATGGAGCTGCTTCATAATGAGGCTGAAGATGTTTCTCACAGTAAGAAGCCAGACACTGCAGACAGGACTTACAGGCTTTCAGTTTCCTCCCGGTGCAGACATCACAGGCCACATCTTCAGGTCCAGCATAGCAGTGATCAGCAGGAGCAGCTTGGAGTCCAGTCTTCTTCAGCTCCTCCACTAAATCTGCTAACATGGTGTTTTTTCCGAGGACAGGCCTCGGTGTGAAGGTCTGCCTACACTGAGGGCAGCTGTAGATTGTCTTCTCATCCTCTTTATCCCAGTGGCTTTTAATACAGTTCATACAGTAACTATGTCCACAGGGAACAGTCACCGGATCCTTCAGGAGATCCAGACAGATCGAACAAGAAAGGGTTTCCTGACCCAGCTGAACTCCTTTCTGTGCCATTTCTCCTCTCGGTAACAACGACTGTCTGAGTTTCTCTTCCTGAGAAATCAAACTAGCTCCACCTCTGATCTGCACAGCATGTGTTTGTTCAGTGAACGTCAGCTCTTGTTGGTAACACCCATCCTCAACTTGTAGATCTAAAGGGGAGGAAACCAGGAAATATAGAGTCAGAGTGGAGCTGGCTGTGTTTGAGAGCAGGAAGAAGAGGGAGGGGTTATCAAGCTCTGCTTCGTTCCAGGAAGAGGAGCGGTGAGAGAGAGACTTGTTTACAACAGAGAACATTTCTCTTTTAAAAACACTTCTCATTTCAGATTTTACAAGATGAACTCTTCTTTGAATCGGAGGGTTTGGAGAAGGCTTTCTGCCCCCAGTACTGCATGCTGTTTGTACAGCAGCTTAGAGGTTGCTCTGTTGTGAAAGTACAATGCAGGCTTCATGAAAGTCATTCATTAAACTCATAAATGTCTGTGTTGCATGCTGGGAAACGTATTTGTAATGCTTACTGTTCAGGCGTCACTTTGCTGCCACCGGTGTTTTCTGAAGCAGCTTGTGATGACGATGAGCCCTCTCTGTGCAGATAAATGCAATTCTTCCTCTTGTCTTCAAATATTCTGCTTGTATGTATGCAACACTGAAGCCTGCTCCCCGCCTCCACACTCTGTCACGCTCAGAGCATGCACGGCGGGGCTGACCACGGACAGACTGGCATTCTTCTCATTGATTGACATTGATTTGAAGCTTCTCACACAAACAGCAAAAGCGAGTCGTAACTAGTTAGTGAATTACATTTTATTAGAATCAAGAATAGAAAACAGCAGCCAGCAGCAACTACCGTATTTTCCGCACTATAAGGCGCACCGGATTATAAGGCGCACCTTCAATGAATGGCCTATTTTAGAACTGTTTTCATATATAGGGCGCACCGGATTATAAGGCGCATAGAATAGAACGTGTTTACAACTGAACAAGGCTGGGAGATATTGTGAATATATAAATATAAATACGTATAAAACGTAACGTATAAAACTACAAAAACAAAAGTACATAAGACGATTTCCCCAAATAATAAATTATTTCTTTGACGTTTCTCTTAACTCTCAAAACGTAGTTTTATACGTAGTGCATTCACAATAACTCAACGTTGTTCAAACGTTAATGTGCATATTCACAATATCTCCCAGCCTTGTTCAGTTGTAAACACGTAAAAGAAACACAGTCTGATACCGCTAATTCAAACGTTAGTGCAGGGGTGCCCAAACAGTCGAT